TTTTTTTTTTTGTTTTTTTGTTCAACCTCGTTTATCTTCGGCTTGCAGATGGTCGACGGGAAATTCATTTGCGACACAGTAGTTTTCCCTCATATAAAGTACACATCTAATCAGGAAATGCAAGAAAGTTTCCTGAAGTTGAGGCAGGATTTCACCACTTTCCAGCGCCACTCGTCTTCGGTAACTGCTTCCTGTAATTGGTGTTAGGTTTGAATAATTAGACTTCTACTTCCTTATGATGGAGTCTAGTTACCAGTGATTACGTTTTTGTAGAAATCTGTTTCCAGCGTTCCTGATTCAGTCAGATTTACTGTTTTTTCTCGTTCGCTGAAAGCTTGAAATTCCAGGCAAATGTTGGGGCGAGTACTTCGTCTTCTGACGAAAATGCTGCGGAACCGCCAAAAACTGCCGGGGAGGACGATACTTTCAGAAAAGGAGCTGAAGAAATCGACAGTAGGATAGCGAAGGACGAATTTATTGCAGCCAAAACAGACGATCCCGAGGACGACACACCGATCGAGTCTGGGGTTGAAGGTGTAGAAGCTAAGTTAGTATTCAGTTATTTCTGGACGGGCGCTCCATGCCTTCTCTCTATCTCCTACATTTTAACTTTGTTTAGGAAGAAGGACTTGGATTTGGCTGCAGAAGAAGAGGGAGGTGCGAAGAACTCAATGTATTTAAATTTGGTAAGCTGAGTTGCTGGAATTGCCAGCTCTCTTCGGGCTGTAGTTATGTCACGGAAGTTTCGTTCTTGCCTTCCGAATGAAATCTGCTAGTTGAAAAATTTCCTTAAAGTATAATTTTCAGAAATTTTTGGTGTCGGCGTGATGTTTTTTATCCTTGTTGCCTTCAAAACTGCAGTTGGTTAAAGTAACAGTAGGTTTGCTAGACTAAATGGTGTGAAAAAGCATATATGTATGTCTTTTTCTTTACTTGAGTATTATTAGTTTAACATTAAGTTGGTTTTGTTATGTTGCAGGATATGGGTGGTCTCGCCAGTGACATAGAAGTGAGGAGTAGCGTGACTAAAAAGGGCAGGAAGAAGGATTTGGTGAGGGAACCGGAGGAGCAGGACGATGAGGAGGAATTATGCCGACTCAGGTGTGCATCACTTTTAACAGTTGCATTGAGGTTTTTTCAATTTGTATTTCCTCGCAGCATTTACGCGAAGAATTATTGGGGAGTTTAACTGGTCAAGGCATTGAAACCAACTCAATCAATCGTCTTTCAGATATGAAGCATTACGCAGTAAAACCAAACATTTGATGAACGATTTGAGAACAGAACGGCGTCGCCTAAAGAGAGAACGTGTGCGTGCTATTATGGCAATTCGCCGTGCAAAAGGAACTGTTGGCAATGGCAGCAGTGGTGTGGTAGTGTCAGATTCGTCTGGAAGCAGTAGCAGTGAAACTTCAGCTTCAGTGAATGAGTATGGGGAATTGTTAAGAAATTCTTCAAAAAACAAAAATTGACAGTCCTCATCATTTGCTGCTTGTAAGAGGATACAGTGAGATTTTGCCCTGAAAAAAGTATATATTACGTGGTTGTGGAATACTCATTTACCTTGCTGATACTTTTTGAGGGACTATCAGACGGAGCTTTGAATGTTTATCTTTCCTAGTTTATTTGCTTCTCATTCTGCTTTTTTATTGTGAAGCTTGATTTCTTGGCGAGTATTGTTGGTATTGCGAACTTCAGCATCTTATTGATTATGGATATTTCCCTTTTGTTATAACAGTTGCTTTACAGCAGAAAAATATTTGACTTACATTGAGAATTTTGTACTGTCAGGTTTTTAAGGAATCGCTTTACTAGTCTTAGAGCTTTTCTTTGCTTTGTTGTACTGAATAAAGTAAAATATTGTTTATGCTTCTGCCCCGTGGCTTACTGTCTATAGTACGTTGCTTTATGGTTAGATGAAAAGTTGTTAGTTGTATAATTTGTTAGGATGCATAGGATGGTGGATTTCTGAACCTTATGGTGTAGTAGGAAGTGCAGGTGTTCTTTGTGTCTCACAACCAGTTTGTTGCACAGCGTATTATAAGTTCATATTTTTATGATGTTACTTGTGAACGTTGTGTTGTTGGAAGCTATTTATGTTTTTGGTGCGTATTGTGTTGGTTTATCTTTGTACCCGCTGTTTTTTTAAAAGTGTGTTGACGTGGTGACTAAGCTTACTCGTTTTTAAATGGATTTTCCTGTGTTGTGGTGTAACAGTAGTGCGGGGGGCTCAGATGTTGCGCAGTTCGGGGTTTCGGAGGGTGCACAGGCGCTCGCAGTATATTGGGTTGAGGGTGTAGTTTGCATTGACAATGGGGTTTTTTTCTCCGTATGTTTGTCCGCTCTCTCTCCTTTAAGTGGGTTTCTGATGACGACAGGATATAAGTTGAGTTGATGGTTGCTTTTGGCTCGAGTGGGAGGCGATGTTTTTCATCGGTAGACAGAAATACTTATTTTAGGGGTGTTTGGAGGAGGAAGGCGGATGTTGTCTTGGCGGTAGTCTATCCTCTATCACTTTTTTAGGGACCACTCATTTTTTGATACTCCATTCGCAGTCCCATTGGTGTCGGGTTTTGGGAAGTGAAGTGGTTGATGTTATTACTGGTGAATCCGTACCAGATAGGTGTGGTACACCGATCGTGTAGTGTGCCGGATTTTTATGAGTGACCGCGGTGCTATTGTGCTGAGTTGATTATGGGTTGTTTTGACTGGAGCAAAGGAGCCGTCAAATTAGTTTGACGTTGCTAGTGTTTTGCAGTTTTTTTGTTTTAAAAAAGTGGATCGGCATGGTCGACGAGAGGTTTGGGTGGATGGGAGTGTTGTGTACGTCGCTGTGATTACAATTTTGCTGAGCATTAAGAGACAGCCACCTTTGAATTACTGTTTTTATTGGGTAATTTAGACTTATTGCTTGTGAACAAGAAGGGTACATGACATTTGAGAAGAATGGTCAGTACTAATGAAATTGAAATTTTAAAGTTTTCTGAAAATTGGGAGTGGAGGACAGGGATTCAGATGAAATTGTTGCTCGGTAGAGTTTGTTGCTGAAGGGTCTGTGTCTGAACTAGTACCAGTTCTTCTCTTATAAATTTATTCTATTTAGATGGAGGACGATGGACGGAACAAAAAGAAGGGGGAAAGTGGTTTTGTAGGTTTTCCCATTGACGAGTGCTTGTCGGGAGGATGTTGTAAGGTAGGGTGCTGATAGCCTTGTATTTTATATTTTCAAGTAACCGAATAATTTTTTAAGTTCATGAGTGTTGCTTAGACCACAGATGTGCGTGTGAAAAGTTCGTAAAAAGTTTACCGGAATGGGAAGAGTTTTTTGGTAGAGAAATAATCTCATTATAAAATTTTCTTGATTATGTCGACCAGTTTGCATTTTATATAAATTTTTAATCTTCTTTTGAAATGAGCTTTTTATTGACTGATTGGTTGCGGCTGAAAAGCCACGCCGGTAGTATCAAAAAATACTTCTTTAATTTTAGTACTACAATGAAGCAGACGTTGAAGGAAGAACAAGAGATAGTTTATTTTTCTAATTACCATAAGGAGTGCATCATAAATGTTGGTTGTTAGTTTTTTTCCTTCAACTTTCAGCCACTTTTTTATCAGCATTGTCAGCGTCATTGGCACAGTTTACGATGATTATTACCTTTTTACTAAATTTTGCACTGTTTAAGCAGGTTTTTATATACTTATTAATTACTGAGATGCTGTTGCTAAAATACTTCTGAACTTAAATGGCCAAAGTCGGAAGATTTTCTGGTGATAATTCTTTTACATATGTGCCGGGCTTAATAATGTTTATTGAATAAACAAACAAACAAGGAAATAAATGAATAAATAGATAATAAATAAATAAATCTACAAAATAATA